GGGTCTAAACCAGGTCTCTAAACCAGGTCTAAACCAGGTCTAAACCAGGTCTGAACCAGGTCTGAACCAGGTCTAAACCAGGTCTAAACCAGGTCTAAACCAGGACTAAACCAGGTCTGAACCAGGTCTAAACCAGGTCTAAACCAGGTCTAAACCAGGACTAAACCAGGTCTAAAACAGGACTAAACCAGGTCTAAACCAGGTCTAAAACCAGGTCTAAACCAGGACTAAACCAGGTCTAAAACCAGGACTAAACCAGGTCTAAACCAGGTCTGAACCAGGTCTGAACCAGGTCTAAACCAGGACTAAACCAGGTCTAAACCAGGACTAAACCAGGTCTAAACCAGGTCTAAACCAGGTCTAAACCAGGTCTGAACCAGGTCTAAACCAGGAACCAGGTCTAAACCAGGTCTAAACCAGGACTAAACCAGGTCTAAACCAGGTCTAAACCAGGTCTGAACCAGGTCTAAACCAGGTCTAAACCAGGTCTAAACCAGGTCTAAACCAGGTCTAAACCAGGTCTAAACCAGGACTAAACCAGGTCTAAACCAGGACTAACCAGGTCTAAACCAGGTCTAAACCAGGAACCAGGTCTAAAACCAGGTCTAAACCAGGTCTAAACCAGGTCTAAACCAGGTCTGAACCAGGTCTAAACCAGGTCTGAACCAGGTCTAAACCAGGCTAAACCAGGTCTGAACCAGGACTAAACCAGGTCTAAACCAGGTCTAAACCAGGACTAAACCAGGAACCAGGTCTAAACCAGGTCTAAACCAGGAACCAGGTCTAAACCAGGTCTAAACCAGGAGGTCTAAACCAGGTCTAAACCAGGTCTAAACCAGGTCTAAACCAGGTCTAAACCAGGACTAAACCAGGTCTAAACCAGGTCTAAACCAGGTCTAAACCAGGAACCAGGTCTAAACCAGGTCTAAACCAGGTCTGAACCAGGTCTGAACCAGGTCTAAACCAGGTCTAAACCAGGTCTAAACCAGGACTAAACCAGGTCTGAACCAGGTCTAAACCAGGTCTAAACCAGGACTAACCAGGTCTCCAGGTCTAAACCAGGACTAAACCAGGTCTAAACCAGGTCTAAACCAGGTCTGAACCAGGGTCTAAACAGGTCTAAACCAGGTCTAAACCAGGTTCTGAACCAGGTCTCAGTAAACCAGGACTAAACCAGGTCTAAACCAGGTAACCAGGTCTAAACCAGGTCTAAACCAGGTCTAAACCAGGGACTAAACCAGGTCTAAACCAGGTCTAAACCAGGTCTGAACCAGGTCTAAACCAGGACTAAACCAGGTCTAAACCAGGACTAAACCAGGTCTAAACCAGGACTAAACCAGGTCTAAACCAGGTCTAAACCAGGTCTAAACCAGGTCTGAACCAGGTCTAAACCAGGTCTGAACCAGGTCTGAACCAGGTCTAAACCAGGTCTAAAACCAGGTCTAAACCAGGTCTAAACCAGGTCTAAACCAGGAACCACTAACCAGGTCTAAACCAGGTCTAAACCAGGACTAAACCAGGTCTAAACCAGGTCTAAACCAGGTCTAAACCAACTAAACCAGGTCTAAACAGGACTAAACCAGGACTAAACCAGGACTAAACCAGGTCTAAACCAGGACTAAACCAGGTCTGAACCAGGTCTAAACCAGGTCTAAACCAGGACTGACTAAACCAGGTCTAAACCAGGTCTAAACCAGGTCTGAACCAGGTCTAAACCAGGTCTAAACCAGGTCTAAACCAGTCTAAACCAGGTCTAAACCAGGTCTAAACCAGGTCTAACCAGGTCTAAACCAGGTCTAAACCAGGTCTAAACCAGGTCTAACCAGGTCTAAACCAGGTCTAAAACTAAACCAGGTCTAAACCAGGACTAAAACCAGGTCTGAACCAGGTCTAAACCAGGTCTAAACCAGGAACCAGGTCTAAACCAGGTCTAAACCAGGTCTAAACCAGGACTAAACCAGGACTAACAGGTCTAAAACCAGGACTAAACCAGGACTAAACCAGGTCTAACCAGGTCTAAACCAGGTCTAAACCAGGACTAAACCAGGTCTAAACCAGGACTAAACCAGGACCAGGTCTAAACCACTAAAACCAGGTCTAACCAGGTCTAAACCAGGTCTAAACCAGGTAACCAGGTCTAAACCAACTAAAGGTAAACCAAACCAGGAGGTCTAAACCAGGTCTGAACCAGGTCTAAACCAGGCTAAACCAGGTCTAAACCAGGTCTAAACCAGGTCTGAACCAGGTTCTAAACCAGGTCTAAACCAGGACTAAACCAGGACTAAACCAGGACTAAACCAGTCTAAAAGGTCTGAACCAGGTCTAAACCAGGTCTAAACAGGTCTAAACCAGGAAACCAGGTCTAAACCAGGTCTAAACCAGGTCTAAACCAGGACTAAACCAGGTCTAAACCAGGACTAAACCAGGTCTCTAAACCAGGTCTAACCAGGTCTGAACCAGGTCTAAACCAGGTCTAAACCAGGTCTAAACCAGGTCTAAACCAGGTCTAAACCAGGACTAAACCAGGACTAAACCAGTCTAAACCAGGACTACTAAACCAGGACTAAACCAGGACTAAACCAGGTCTAAACCAGGACTAAAAAGGACTAAACCAGGACTAAACCAGGTCTAAACCAGGTCTAAACCAGGACTAAACCAGGACTAAACAGGACTAAACAGGACTAAACCAGGACTAAACCAGGTCTAAACCAGGACTAAAACCAGGACTAAACCAGGTCTAACCAGGACTAAACCAGGTCTAAACCAGGACTAAACCAGGTCTAAACCAGTCTAAACCAGGACTAAACCAGGACTAAAAAAGGACTAAACCAGGACTAAACAGGTCTAAACCAGGACTAAACCAGGACTAAACAGGTCTAAACCAGACTAAAAAAGGACTAAACCAGGACTAAACTAAAAAACCAGGTAAACCAGGACTAAACCAGGACTAAACCAGGTCTAAACCAAAACCAGGACTAAAAAGGACTAAACCAGGACTAAACCAGGACTAAAAAGGACTAAGGACTAAACAGGTCTAAACCAGGACTAAAAAAGGACTAAACCAGGACTAAACCAGGTCTAAACCAGGCTAAACCAGGTCTAAACCAGGACTAAAAAAGGACTAAACAGGACTAAACCAGGACTAAACCAGGTCTAAACCAGGTCTAAAACCAGGACTAAACCAGGTCTAAACCAGGTCTAAACCAGACTAAACCAGGTCTAAAACTAAAGGACTAAACCAGGTCTAAACCAGGACTAAACCAGGTCTAAACCAGGTCTAAACCAGGACTAAACCAGGACTAAACCAGGTCTAAACCAGGACTACACCAGGTCTAAACCAGAACTAAACCAGGTCTAAACCGGGTCTAAACCAGAACTTTGGAATCTGTTGTTTTGGGTTAATACCATTTTCAAAAATATAAAATTAATCTGGTGATCTAAACGTGACATGTGACAGTCTGGTCTTTTTGGTCGGTCCCGGGTCTGGTCTGGGTTTGGTCCCGGGTCTGGTCTGGGTTTGGTCCCGGGTCTGGTCTGGGTTTGGTCCCGGGTCTGGTCTGGGTTTGGTCCAGGTTTGGTCCGGGTCTGGTCTGGGTTTGGTCCAGATGCCCGGTGCCTCAGCTGTCGCAGAGGCTTCCTCAGATCAGAGTCTGAGCACTGCAAAAATAAAATCACTGCACACAGATTTTAAAGAGTGACCTGAGTTTAAAGAGTGACCTGAGTGGATTTGAGTTTAAAGAGTGACCTGAGTGGATCTGAGTGGACCTGAGTTTAAGGAGTGACCTGAGTTTAAAGAGTGACCTGAGTTTAAAGAGTGGACCTGAGTGGACTTGAGTTTAAAGAGTGACCTGAGTTTAAAGAGTGACCTGAGTTTAAAGAGTGGACCTGAGTGGATTTGAGTTTAAAGAGTGACCTGAGTGGATCTGAGAGGACCTGAGTTTAAAGAGTGACCTGAGTTTAAAGAGTGGACCTGAGTGGACTTGAGTTTAAAGAGTGACCTGAGTTTAAAGAGTGGACCTGAGTGGATTTGAGTTTAAAGAGTGGACTGAGTTTAAAGAGTGACCTGAGTTTAAAGAGTGGACCTGAGTGGATCTGAGTGGACCTGAGTAAACTTGAGTGGACCTGAGTTTAAAGAGTGGACTTGAGTGGACCTGAGTGGACTTGAGTGGACCTGAGTGGACTTGAGTTTAAAGAGTGACCTGAGTTTAAAGAGTGGACCTGAGTGGACTTGAGTTTAAAGAGTAACCTGAGTGGACTTGAGTTTAAAGAGTGACCTGAGTTTAAAGAGTGGACCTGAGTGGATTTGAGTTTAAAGAGTGACCTGAGTGGATCTGAGAGGACCTGAGTTTAAAGAGTGACCTGAGTTTAAAGAGTGGACCTGAGTGGACTTGAGTTTAAAGAGTGACCTGAGTTTAAAGAGTGGACCTGAGTGGATTTGAGTTTAAAGAGTGGACTGAGTTTAAAGAGTGACCTGAGTTTAAAGAGTGGACCTGAGTGGATCTGAGTGGACCTGAGTAAACTTGAGTGGACCTGAGTTTAAAGAGTGGACCTGAGTTTAAAGAGTGGACCTGAGTGGATTTGAGTTTAAAGAGTGACCTGAGTGGACCTGAGTTTAAAGAGTGACCTGAGTTTAAAGAGTGGACCTGAGTTTAAAGAGTGGACCTGAGTGGACTTGAGTTTAAAGAGTGGACCTGAGTTTTAAAGAGTGACCTGAGTTTAAAGAGTGACCTGAGTTTAAAGAGTGGACCTGAGTGGACTTCAGTTTAAAGAGTGACCTGAGTGGACCTGAGTGGACTTGTGTTTAAAGAGTGGACCTGAGTGGACTTGAGTTTAAAGAGTGGACCTGAGTTTAAAGAGTGGACCTGAGTGGACTTGAGTTTAAAGAGTGGACTTGAGTGGACCTGAGTGGACCTGAGTGGACCTGAGTGGACTTGAGTTAAACCTGACCTGAGACACTTTGTGCTTTGGTTTGAGTCCCAATTAAAATCAAACAAACGAGCCAAAGAAGAATGAGTTTATTTCCAGTTTAATTTCCACAGGCCAATAATAAAACGTCAAAGAAGAAGAAAAAATATTTATTTTGATTCTAAAAACAAAAAATGTAAAGTCCAGAGTCCAGACCTCGAGAAGTCCATCACAGCCAGCCAGCTGATCCAGGTCTTCCAGAGAGTCTCCAAGCTGTTTGCTGCCAACCCGGGGAAGACGGTCCTGGTCGAGCACGTCATCCGTTTAAAGGACAAGGGCCCGGTCCGCCAGAGGTCCTACCGGGTTCCACAACATCTGGTGGCACAGCTCCTGAAGGAGGTGGAGGAGATGCAGCGCCTGGGGGTGATCGAGCCATCACAATCGGAATGGTGCAGTCCGGTGGTCATCGTGGTGAAGAAGGACGGCTCACTCCGCATCTGCATCGACTTCCGGAAGCTCAACGCGATGTCCGAGTTCGATGCCTACCCGATGCCCCGGATTGACGACCTGCTGGAGAAGATTGGTCAGGCCAGGTTCATCACCACCCTTGACCTCTGCAAGGGCTACTGGCAGGTGCCTCTGGAGGTGTCCAGTCGCCCATACACGGCCTTCCGGACACCTGCCGGCCTCTTCCAGTTCACCGTGATGCCCTTTGGCCTCCATGGAGCACCTGCCACCTTCCAGAGACTAATGGACCGTGTCCTGCAGGGGTGTGGCGACTGCAGTGCTGCTTACCTGGACGATGTGGTCATCTTCAGTGACACCTGGTAACAGCACCTGCATCACCTGGAGCGAGTCCTTGGCCAGATCCAACAGGCAGGTCTGACACTAAACCCTGCCAAGTGTCAGTGGGCCAAGCAGGAGGCGACGTACCTGGGCTATCGTCTGGGAGGAGGTGAGGTCCGGCCTCAGGTGGACAAGGTCGAGGCCATCCGCAGCTGCCCACGCCCTCGCACAAAGAAGGAGGTGAGGTCCTTCTAGGGCTTGGCTGGCTGGTACCAGAGATTCCTGTCTCCTGGACCGAGGCCTGCGAGACAGCCTTCCAGACCCTTAAGAACTGCTTGTGTTCCTCCCCAATGCTGAGAAGTCCCGACTTCAGCCAGCAGTTTTTGGTCCAGACTGATGCCTCCGCAGTGGGACTGGGGGCAGTCTTGGCCCAAGGTGAACCTGGAGAAGAACGTCCCGTGCTATACCTGAGTCGCAAGCTGTTGCCACGTGAGACCAGGTACTCCACTGTAGAGAAGGAGGGCCTGGCCATCAAGTGGGCGCTGGAGAGTCTGAGGTATTACCTGCTGGGGAGGGAGTTTGTCTTAGAGACTGATCATCGTTCTCTGACCTGGATGAACTCTATGAAAGATCATAACAGCCGTCTCACCCGCTGGTATCTCTCTCTCCAGCCGTTCCATTTCCAGATCCGCCATCGAGCTGGCAAGGCCAATGTGGTGGCGGACTATCTGTCCAAGTTGCCGCACATCGCCAACCTTGGGGAGGAGGGGAATGATGTGACGGAGCGCCTGTGTTGCCCCGTCATCTCCCGACTGGCGCGTCTGCATCTGGCCAAAGAGCGCCAGATGAACACCAACCCTGGAAAACAACTGCACACGACAACACAGCACCGCCAGGGCAGTGACGGTGCGCAGGGGGAACGCCTCGGGAAACCGGGTGGCATAATCGCACAGCACCAGGATGTACTGGTGTCCGCCACTACTCCGCACTAATGGGCCAACAATATCCATGGCTATACGGCGAAATGGGGTGGAGATCATGGGCAGAGGTTGGAGAAGGGCACGGTCAGATTGGCGGACATAGGACGTTTTCTGACAGGTGGGACAGGTTTTACAGAAATTTTGTACATCCGCATACATGGAGGGCCAATAGAAGCGAGAAGCTATGCGCAAATAAGTCTTTTGTCGACCCAGATGACCAGCCCAAGGCACGGTGTGTGCCAGGTGCATGACCAGTGGTCGACACGACATGGGAACCACGAGGCGCCTGGCACCGTCAGCCACTGCATACAAGATATCATTGTCAATAACATAGCACTCCCTGCTTCCTTTTGCCATATATCGGGCCTCTCAACTACTCTGGCAAATGCTGGCTTCAAAGTCTCATCCTGCCTTTGTAAGGCCCCAATGTCCTCTGGCACCTCCCACATCAATCCTGCCTTAAAGTCTGGCTCCCTCGACTTTAGTCCCTTTTCAAAGCGCCGCTGGCGGCGTGACTTCCTAGGCCCCTTTGTGCCCCCTTCAAACAACTCACTGTCCAGGGTAGAAAAAGGTTCGAGACTGGACCCCTGCTCCTGCCCTGTGAGGGATGTTACACCCTGTCCTTGCCTGCGCACAGGTGATCACAGGACCCGAAAACCCCCTGCCACAGTCACTGACTTTAGCTCCCCCTTCCTGCAACACATCGATCAGCACAGGTAGATCCCACCCCCAGGATGGCAGCTACTGGTAACTTCTCCACCACCCCCACCGTTCATCCACAGTCACCGTCAGATCAGCAGTAGGGTAGGACTGGCAGTCACCATGTACACACAAAATGGTTTCCTGCCTGCTGTAATCTACGATGCTTGTCGGCACGACGTCCCTTCGGACCAGGGTTAACAAGCTACCAGAGTCAACCAGAGCTGTCACGGGTTCACCGTTAATAGTAACCTCCTTGTAACACTGCCGCCTCTCTCCAGCACTGACATCCTCAGCACGTGGGGTATAACATGCCCCACAAAGTTTAGCTTTTTTGATCGGGCACAGGGAAGCTTTATGACCTGACTGCTGACAGTAGAAACAAACAAGCTCCTTACCGGGACCACGTTGGCTGGGTGCAGGGCTGGGATCTCCAGGCAGGTGGGAGTTGACTCTGGTTGCCGGTCTGGGTTGAGAAGGCTGCCGACCAGGGCCCCCTGGGTAGGCAGCTGGGCCTCCCCTCCGCGCATTGAGGTACTGCAGCGCTAGCTTGGCCGCAGCTAATCCCTCTGTTGGCTCGTGCTCCTTCACCCAGGTGCGAATGTCTGCCGGGAGGACCCGTAGCAGCTGCTCCAAGATAATCTGCTCCCCGACTTGCTCCTTAGTGTGCTGCTCTGGCCGGATCCATCGTCGGTAGAGCCCCTTTAAACGGTGGTAAGTCTCTGTTGGGTTCTCTCCAGGTGGGTTTGCCATGGACCGGAACTGCTGCCGATACGTCTCTGGGGAGACGTCAAACTTGGTAAGGAGGGCTGCCTTCAGGTCCGGGTAGGAGTGTGCCCGTTCCACGCAAAGGGACGCAAACAGAGAGCAGGAGCGAGGCAAGAGAGTTTGTTGCTAAGGCGGTTTTGTCACCCGCGTTACACCATCATCACATTCTAGAATCTAAAATAGTTTTGGAGCCTGAGAAGCTGTCGCCGTAGCAACGTGATGTTCTAATGCCGCCCTGGATCTCCATGGTGATAGAACTCTGCTTGATGACATCATCAGAGAAGCACGACGCTGCTTTAAAGTAAACTTTAGTGTGTGTTTGTGTGTGTGTGTTTGTGTGTGTGTGTGTGTGTGTATGTATGTGTGTGTGTGTGTGTGTGTGTGTGTTGTGTATGTGTGTGCGTGTGTTGTGTGTCTGTGTGTGTATGTATGTGTGTGTGTGTGTATATGTGTGTGTGTGTGCGCGTGTGTTGTGTGTGTGTCTGTGTGTGTGTTGTGTGTGTGTATGTGTGTGTGTGTGTGTGTGTGTGTGTGCGTCAGTCGCTCTGGTTTGACATTTAAATTGTAGGTGATTTTATATTAGTTTTTTTTTTTATATATTTGTATTTCACGTTGGGAGAAGAATTTCCAAGAACACAGATGTGTTTTCCCCTGTGCACTGCTGCTCTGTTCTTCTGGCTCTTCCACCTCGTCCACTGTGTGACTGACGTCGCCAACGTGAACATGACGTTTACGTCGCTCTTACTGTCGCGTTCTGTTTGAGTTTCCGGCAATGAGTGGAATTACCAAAAAAATAAATAAAATAAATAAATGGGATGTAGCACAAAATGTGAAAACAGGAGAATACCGCCTTGTAATCCACTTATTTCAACAAAGTAACTGTAATCCAATTACCACTCATTAAAACAGTAACTGTAACTGAATACAGTTACTCATCATTTGTACTCTGATTACTCTGGTACATGTAATCTGTTACTCCACAACACTAGTGGTATTATAAAATATATAAATACTAATTAATATTCAAATATTGTACAATATACTAGACTGTTAAATTAATTAATCAAAATAATTAAAATGATTAATTAAAAATCCTTTTTGAATTAAAGTGCATGAAAATAACATTCAAATAGCACAGCAGCTTTGGATTTAAAGTGCTAAAGGCAGTTCAATCATTTAAGGCACAATGTAAAGCTAAAAAACACTACAAAGTGCACAGTAACCAAGTGGACACTAAAAGACAATAAAAGTCATCATTTGATGGTGATTACATGTCAAATTGGACCACAATAGTGCAACAGAAATGATTAGAAATTTGGCATAAACAAGGCCGGAGGCGGCTAGGCTAAGCTAACCATACAAACAAACAGAGACTGGGCGGGGCTTAACAATCCCGTCAGATCGTCACTATACGGCTCGCTTGGGCGCTCAAAGGGCGATGGTTTTTGGCTCCTACAAGACGACATTTAAAACATTTAAAACGGTGAGTTTAGTAACTTGTCATCGCGGATTGAAGCAAATTGAGGCTTAAAAACAAACCTGTAGCTCGCGTTTGTTTATCTCTCTCGCGTCTGCCGCGCTTCCGGGTTTTGCGCTAATATAAGCTCCTAATTGGGCGGCCGCGGTCACATGATCGGACGCACGCAAAGGGACGCAAACAGAGAGCAGGAGCGAGGCAAGAGAGTTTGTTGCTAAGGCGGTTTTGTCACCCGCGTTACACCATCATCACATTCTAGAATCTAAAATAGTTTTGGAGCCTGAGAAGCTGTCGCCGTAGCAACGTGATGTTCTAATGCC